CATCACAAACAAGTATGCTGCGGGATGGTGACTCATTACAGGAAAGATTGAACATGGACAAAAGCGAACGACCCCGGACATTCGACACACACAAAACAAAGGGGCAGGGGTGAAACTTAAACCCGAAAAAACAACATCCTACACATATATAAGGGTGATCTTTAAACAATCAAATTTGAAGAAATCTGTTCAACTCCGTGTCCAAATTAAAAGACTGCATTTCCGTGGCTAATAATGGTGAGGGACTCTCTTACTAGCCGTTTGTGATCCTTTCTCTCGGTCAACACAACCGATGTGGGATTCCATAGAGGTACAATTATTACATTCCAACATATGCTTTGACATTTCTGAATACTGTTCTTTGTTTCTAATACAACGTTTGTGTTCAGTTAAGCGATCATTATTATTCAGTTAAACGATCACTATTATTAGTCACGGAAATGCTGTAAATAGGCCGTCTTTTTGTTTGGATACGGAGTTGAAAACATTCTACAAATTTGATTGTTTGAAGGTCACCTTTACATCTGTGTAAGATGTTTTTTCGGGTTTAAGTTTCACCCCTGCCCTTTTGTTTCGTGTGTGACGAATGTCGGGAGTTGTTCGCCTTTGTCCATGTTCAATCGTTCCCCTAATGAGTCACCATCCCGCAGCCCTCTCTTTCGTGATGTGTATCAGGACCTCACCGAGGTGGGATAAGAGATCTTCCTCGCCCCCCCCCCCCCCCCCCCCCCCTTTGTTTGAGTTAGAACAGTACCGGTGTGCCATTGGTCAATGTCCTCCCTCTCTTGCACGTTCGGGAAAAAGAAGTTCAACCTCCCACTTTTTTCATCCTTTTGGTTTTCGGGGCACTTGTACACTATAAATAGGGTGACCAGACATCCCGTTTTGGCCGGGACAGTCCCGTTTTAGAGGTCCCTTTTTGCCGTCCAGTCTTTTTGACTCAATAGAGAATCATGTCCCGTTTTCGCAGAAGCCCACAGTTTCGAAATTGGCACCAAGCCAGCTGAAGCAAATTGAAACTACATGCCTTCTCGTTACAAGTGTATTTTACAAAAAATAACCGTAGGTACTTTAAAATATTTACCCAGACAGTTATATGTAGAACTGTTGTAGACCCCAAACACTTTTTCTCGACGCGAGTATAGAAATATTATTTTGAATTACTGGATATAGCCTGCATGTAGAATCTCATTTGGCAACACTACACTATTTTTCGAAAATGGCGAAGAAACGGACGTGTGTGTTCAACGAAGATCTTCGCAATGAGTATACGTTTCTTAGCCCAACATACTGTAACAGCACAGTTCTTTGTCGAACCTGTGGAACGTGTTTTTCTTTTGCGCATGAAGGCCGTAGCGACATCAGCCAGCACATCAGAAGTCAGAAGCACAAAATGCGGAGAAGGCCAGGTCCGTGAGCGCCGGCGTTTCTTCCCTTTTTCGTAAAAACTCTGTTGCTGACAAAGTGGCCGCTGCAGAGGCGTTGTTCGCCTACCACACCATAAGACACGGGCAGACCTTTCGGTCTAATGACTGCATGTCGCAACTGATTAAAAAAACTCTTCCAGCCCAAGTACTGTAGTGCGCGTACAAAGTGCGAAGCTATAATCTGCAATGTCTTGGCACCCTTGTCGCCGGAAGAACTGACAGCAAGTCCGAACAACTGTTCCTACGTCACGCTGATTGGGGATGCGTCAAACAGGAAAGAGAAAAAGATGTTTCCTGCACTGGTGAGGTACTTTGATCCAAGAAGCGGGGTACAAACAAGAGTGCTGGAGTTGTCTTCTCCTCAGCGGCGAAACATCCAACCTTCGTATCTCAATACCGTCATTGAGAAGTATTCTCTGCAGACCAAGGTTGTGGGTCTCTGTGCAGGCAACACGAACACAAACTTCGGTGGCGCCAAGCGACTGGGGCAGAACAATGTGTGGCGAAATCTGCAGAAAGCTCTGGGAAGGAACGTTATTGGCATTGGGTATGGTGCCCACATCGTACACAACTGCCTGCAGTCAGGAGTGGATTGCTTGCCCTCTGAGGTGGAGAGCTTCGCCTTAAAGCTCAACTCCTTGCAAAAGTGGAGAGCTTCGCCTTAAAGGCTCAACTCCTTGCAAAAGTGAACTTTCATATTCCATTCCGAGTAACTAGACACTGTGTTTGTTTTGATGTTCGCTCGCCATGTAACACCTCACCTCCCTTACGGATTCAGTCATTATATAATACCTTCGCTCCACCCCACCTTGATATATCTGCATCAATTTCTATGTATCGTCGCGATTTAAACGATATTATTCTAGCCCTTAGCATTATGGTTGTCTTTGATGTTTTTTTTTCTTCTTAGTAAGTGTTTAGAGCCTATGTACTTGCTTGCTCATTTTGCTTGTTTTTTGGTGCATCAATAAGAAGACCAATGTGGTTCTTTTGGGGCACCCAAAAATAAAAATTAATATTATTATTATTATATTATTATTATAAAGGTTTACAAGTACTTCCGCATATACACAGTGAGAGTGGAAGAACTCGAGGAGTTTTGAGGGTTTGCTGGCATAGGGTATGCCAAACTGCTGGAATATTGAAGCATGCGTTTCCTGTCACTCGGTCCAGCAGTCGAAGGAATTTCGGAAATATTCGAAGGGCTGCGCTCCTATTTTCTCTCGCAGGAAAAGTGCCCGGCGATGTTGAAAGCACACTTTGAACACCCATGCGCTCAGCTGTGGCTTCTATTTGCAAAGATTCGAACAAACATGTTCCAAAAAACAGTGGCCTTGCTAGAAGAAACTGACATCACTGCAACAGAAGCAGCATTGCACATGGCCACTCTAAGAGATGTGCTTGTGGCCAGAAAACAAGAGCTGCTCGTGACAACGGATGTTAAACGTCATCTCCAAGAGCTTGTTGAAGCTGGTAGCATCAAAGAAAATGATTATATGAAAGTGGTATGTGACTTCTATGGAACCTTCATAGAATACCTTGACAAATGGCAAGATAGCTATGGAGCTGCTGCAAACCTGAAATGGGTACTGCTGCGAAAAATGCCGGAATGGCAAGAAATCCGAAGCAGCCTTGAAGAATTGCTGCCATTCTTTGAGCTTACAACAAAAGAAGAATTTGAAGAGGCACTATTTCACCAGTGGACCCTTGTCAAGAAAAGCATTAAAAAGAAACTGTAAGATTGGAAATCGTCAGGTAATACTGTCTCTGAGAGATGGGTGCAAGTCTTTAAAGAGATGGAAACAGAGAATTTATGCTACGCCGATATTTCCCGGGTTGTGGAACTGGCTCTGTGCTTCCCTGGAACGACGGCTCCAGTGGAGCGCGTCCTTTCAATTATGAATTCCATGAGGACAAGCGAGAAGTCTCGCCTTCTTGTCTTAACGTTCCGAGCAATGCTACTTGTGCGGTTGAATTTCCCATATTAGTACGCAGGCCTTTATAACCGAGTCTTGCAGGATAAAGTCCAGCTTAGGAAACTTCAGTCGCCGGCAAAATACGCCCACACCAACGAAGGACCCGAAACAGGACCCTACAAATGAGTGCATGAGTGCATGCAACTGAACTGTGAGCAGTTATTTCATAAATGTTCTTTCTCAAACTCAATCTTTAATACCCCGACCCCCCACCCGGGTTGAAATGTCCCGTTTTCTACCTTGATAAATATGGCCACCCTACCTATAAAAACCTAATATTCTGTCCAATAAATTTCAGCTGTATTTGAGACTTCGTGTTGTGTTGCCCTTTTTTCCCCCAGTCTCGGGGTTTTGTCTAATATGTAAAATTTCTATGCTTGCAAAAATGTTTTGCATCGCTACTTTTTTATTTCTTATACGCCCGGATTATGGTAGTCCCTGTAAAATGATAAAATATTATATTGGGGGTTGTGTATAGGTTTCTAAAGCCTGGAGTTTGTCTGCCTCAACGGGCGACTTTTCTCAGCTGTAGACAAGCAAAGAAGCCAGTGCAATAAAACCGCTATCCTGATGTCTATAACGTGTTACAGGCAGTAGTGATTCACGACCTCACGCTGATACGATGCTCATCCAGATCGAAACGGGCAGGGATGGGGATTGAGTCCATGCTCCCTGGGTTCTGCAGCGCGAGTTTCAACTCCCCGTGCTCCGAGCTGGTGTGCGCTAGCTCACTCGGCCATCGATCTTCCCTAAAATAATGTATTTGAGAGAATGAATGAAGGTGCACTCCGTTCACCTGTAAAGGCATGTTCCCACTCTTGCGACCGACTAGGGCTGGCTAAGACAAGGCCGGTTTTTAAGCCTCTTGCGGCAGCTTAGAACCAGTTCCGCCGCTGCGTATTCGGTCCTAAACCGTCGCAAGAGGCTTAAAAATTGGTCTAATCTCAGCCGGTACTACTCGGTGGCAAGTGTGTGCATGGGCCTTAAGATGACAAGACAGCGAAAGCTGCAACCACACCTGCCATCCCACCAGCTTATGGCGACCAGAAATCATTCCTAGAATTCTGCAGACAAAGCTATAGCGGTGCGGATGCTCAGTAGAAGTGTCTACCTCCGCTGAGAAATCAAAAAGACAACGCCTCCTGGGCGTTGTCTTTGTTGATCTTCGTGTTTCGCATATTGGTATCTATATACCTTGCACGCTTTTCTAGTGGTCCTATTCACCGGTCAAAAAAACCGATCGTGTTCTCTTTTCTGTTATTCTTTTCTCTGCTTGTATTGTTCCTGTTCCGGTATTTTGTTAGTAATTTTGTTCCAAGTAACGAGTAATTAAAGTTATCCGTTACAAATATTTGTGACGAAATTACATTAGAAATTACTACCGCAAGGAAGTAACGTGGAAATTACAAAATTACTTAAAAGACGAATGGATTACTTCTCAAACTGCTCCGCGTACGCCTAGCAAGTATGGGCGCGCCTCGTCAGAGGGAAGAGTGGCGCCGCGCATCCGTGGCGACAATTTAGCCGCACAAACCTATTGCGCATGCCCCACATCTGTTTTCTCCGAAACAACAATGGGCCTGCAGAATGCGGTGTCATTTCGTAATAAAAAAACGCTCCAATTGCATCAACCCATTATTTTTTCCCCGCTGTGTCAATATTTTTTTTTTTATGTTTGCCGGCACATTTCATTATGTCGCTTACTGCAAGCAGTACTTTTTTTTCATAATTACACCAATTAAAATATTGGTAATTATCTTTTACGCTCCAACCTGGGTGACAAGAGCACATCTGTCAAAGGTTTGTGATTAGTATAAAGGCTTCAGGTATTGCTGTTCATATCCACTCGTGAACTGCCGCTTTCTCTGGCGAAGATTCGGTGAGTTCCATTCACCATCAACCTTTTTTATTCATACTCACGCGCCCTGCCCTTCCACCATGCAACTGCTGTGTCGTTGTTGTTTCTTTTGTATTTCTCGCTGAGTGAATTCATACGGATGTTTCCAATTTTCGACATAAATATTAGCAAATATCACACTTTATTTTTCGAGACGGTAAATAAATTAATTACGCAACCACGTGACCACTAAGAAACCAAGCTTGGAGGCGAATCTCAGGTTAAGCCAAGATAAATATAAAACACTGACCTCCACAATTGCAAGGCACTTCTGGAGCTCCAGGAAAATATGATATTTAGCGAGATGTAAGTTGTGCACTTACCCAAACGCGGGTGGAAACTGCATCGTTTCTATTTGAATAATTACGCCCGCGAATTCAACCAAGAGAAGCAGGTTCCATACGTTAGTTTACGATCATTTTGCCGGCCTTTCTCCTCAAACATATAATGTACCTCCACAAAAAGTCAGGGTAACATTTTTTCAAGGTTCTGCTGGCTTCTATATGACATTTCGTTAGCCTGAATTATTCCTAATTTTACAAAGCAATACACCGCCATCTCTCGCAAATATGAATCCCGTTAATACGGATACCCCGCTATATGAACAAAGTTTTCGGGGACGAATTGAGTATAAATACACGTGTTTTTGTTTCGTTATTATAGACAGCTCACATTATGGACGCTTTTTTTGGGGGAATGGAGGTGTCCATATGAACGAGATAATAATGTACAAAAAGACTTCAATATATCGCAAAAGCAAAAACTGGCTTATCTAAAAAAAATGTCTCGACGATTTGCCGAATAATTACGCACGCAAATACATCCATTCATTCTTGTCAGCTATCCAAGATAAAGGGTCGAGGGTGCTCCGACGGCGAAAGTGTCAGCGGCCACCAGGGAACTCGCCTGGTTCTCGCAGCGCCACGCAACGCCATGTAGAGCGGGTGCGGTGGAAGGCAACGTACAAAGGGAGCGCTGCACCGATTACTAAAATGCATCAGCCACAGAGCACCTGACGGGGCTATCTGTGCGAAGGCTCGCCAAGAAGAGCCACATGCCAAAAACTTCCATGGCACTGATAGTCCTGTCCACCTAACATTAGAAGCAGTTCCTTATTTTCGAAATTTTGGCTTTGTGTTGTTCTTCCTGGTTGGGTGTGAACCACGGCAACTTCCTCACAGGGTGAATTCATTCCTTGTGTGCGTCACCCTTTTTTACAGACGGCCGCAAAAATGAAACATCTTGGAATTTATTTCCTGTCTATCCTGGCGCTAGTCGGTAAGGCTGAGTATAGTTCATTATGTTGAATATGTTATTTTGTTTAACTGACCAGTCACGGTGCAATTATCTTCGAAGGGTCCATAAACAATCAAGGTCCTCTGTATTTGTTAACAATAATCTATTTGTCGAGGTCATTTAATAAAATTCATGTTTACCTCGGCCGTACAGAAATTAGAAACAACGCGCATAATTAAATATAGTTCGCTAAAACGCACCAGAGCCATGGTCTTTCACACCAGATTGGTAATTTACATAGCGAATTCAACTAAGACTCCGACTGATTGCTGCCGCTGCGGCCCTAATATAATAATAATTTTACTTCCACCTCACAAGGTTAAACCTGACATTAAAAACTACTTCTATGCACACAAAACTTAAGTATGTTACCTGAAAGGACACTGACACCATATGAATTATGGTCAAAAATATTTATCGAGATGTACGTACTCATTATGATCTTACCTTGTAATATATCCACGCGTAAAGAATTATTTATCATACCGTAGCTTCTTATGAAAATAATGGCGTTACGATCCAAAAGCGTGAAGGTCCCGAGGTTTTAGACATTTTTTCTTTATATTTTTATGATACAAAGTAGCTATTTTGTAACTAATGTCTCATATATTCAATCAGTCATAATGTTCCTAGTTTTGTTGTCCATACACGACGTTAAAGCAACTCATCAGTTACCTTCATTGTCATTTTGTTTTTGATGATTTTACACCAAAACATCTTTGCTGCGAAAATCAGGCATACATCATCGGTAGCTTCAATTTTTCTCATCTTTAGTGCAGGAATAAAGATTCATCCAAGTAAACGAAACAACCAGGAATATTTCTAGTAAAATATGGGCAAACATATTTTATTCTAAAATAAACGCAAAATAAAATAAAAATAGGATTATTCTAATCGCACGATATATCTAGGCTCTTCTGTGTGCTAAGACATTATCGCCAAAGTGACGTCCCATCCGGTGCTAACAAAATGTCTTATTCGGGTCTCTTAATTGTCGATTGGATGCGAGCGACCAGGGCCCGCTAGAAGGGTGGAATGGGGGAATGAGGGAATGGGGGAGTGAGCCACTCCACCAAAATCCCGGGGCATTCATGAGGGGGAAGGAGTCCAGAGTATTAGTTCGAGAGGAGAGGGAGAAGGAGCAGAGTAGGGAAAGGGTGTCTGGAAAGCCCCGGCGGAGGGGGGGGGGGGGGGGGGGGGGGTTAAGAAGCGGTTCGTGTTTGGCACCATAAGTGACTTCTTTTTCTTTGCGATCAATGTACAAAAAATCAGGATTATGTCATTTGAAGGTAAGACATGAAACTATATGAAAAGTGCCTCTTTCGAGTCGTGTTCAGTTTTCTTTTTTTGTGTTAGGCTCTCTTGTCACATGATACCATCATGACAAATTCACAATCACCCGTCCTTACTTTGCTTCTTTTTAATTTAAATAATTAACGCAGCTACACCGCGAATCTAAGTTTTTTTTTTTTTTTAATGCGCATGCGTTTTAGAAGGGCTGGATAAGTACAACATTGACAAATTTAAGGACTGTGAGCTTATTCTCACTTCATATTATTGGCGTACACACACTACGGTCCCTCGTTGAGCATAAACCAAACGAAATATACTACATTTCAACAAAACAAAAGTCGGGCGGGCTTTCATGCTACCGACTGTTTTGAGGGTGAGGTCATGTTGGATGGTTTGCCAAATGGCCTTTGCGGTGGGGAACGTCGAAGAGGTACTTAGGGAGATGTCTAACTGGTTTAATCGATTCAACATAATTTAGAAGAGGCACTCGCATTAGCTAATATGTAAGGGAGGTGGGCAGTTAGGTTGGGTTTGGTATAAACTGAGGAAAGTGCTGAAAAACATTAAGGTATAACCCCCTCCCCTCCCCTTGTTGACGTTAGTTTTGGTTTCGTTTCTAATTCTCATTTGTGTGTGTGTGTGTCCCGTTTGTTGACTACCAGACGCTGCCAGACAGTCCCAATGAGGCTTTGGCGGGTTTATTTTCATATGTGTACTTTAAGTGCAAAAAAAAGTTTTTATTATTAGTATTATAATTATTAATAATCAAAGGAGTTTCATTAGTAAACCAGTCAAAGTAGTGATCTCGGCTGCTTCTTTGAAAGGCTGCTTGTCTTATGTACGCCTGAGCTGCGAGAAAAATATGTCGGGTCCTAAAGAATGGCGTATGTATAACTTGGTGTTCTTATTAATTCACGACAGCTTTTGCGACAGCAGCACCAATGACCCATAATCATGAAGGGGTCGATGGAAGGGTCGACAAGGAAGCAGGTAAGGATAGGCCTTCCCAAGCCTCTAAATGCATGATGCGGTCTTCCTCCTCAATTGCACTCAAATTAATATGTAATCTATGTTCTCTGCAAACATTCAGTGAAAGTCCAATTACTTCCCCGGTAGCACGACGGAGGAACGCCTAACTTGGTACAAAGGTTACCGATTTTAGAGGCGTAACTTGAGCATAATACGGTTTTCGCTCCAAGGAGTTAGTGGTAAACCACTTTTTTTGGCGTTTCTGTCTTTTTTTATGGGGATGGCCACAGAATTTTTAAGTGCCAGACTTAAGGCAAAAATTCCACGTACGCATGCGCGTACCAACCCGGGGTGCGGGGGGCGGGGGGGGGGGGGGGCAAGGGGGCACTTGCCTTCCCCCCCCCCCCCCTTCCCCCCAGTTCTCAGAGTGGGGGGCAAGGCATGTGTTTTGCCCTTCCCCCCCTGAAACAGCCGCTACTGGGCAGGGCAAACACTGGCCGGCGGCGCCGAAGGCATGCCAAGGGCACCACCCCGGCCCTGGGGGGGGGGGGGGGGGGGGGGGAGGTCTGGTTCGTCCCCCTACGAAAAAACAAGTTCGCATTCCACTGCACGTACGGTCTTAAGAACCAGCAGTGAAGTCTAAATCTGGCACTTGACTGGCAATTTAGGCCAAAGTTGATACATGAAAACCCAACAACCAGAAGTGAACTTTAACTCTGGCACTCGTTTGGCAGTTAATAACTAAAGACGTCAGATTACAGCCAAACTACGAGCAGTGAAGGCAGGGGCATAGATAAGCCATTTGGCACCCGGGGACACTTAGGTCTTTCGTAGTCTAGCCCCCCTCCTCCCCTCCTTTTTCACTTTCCGACGAGATTGCAACTAGTAAAGCGGGGAGGGCAGGGGCGGGTTCCCCCATCCCCCACACACACACATACACGCAAGTGACTGGAACACTTGGTAACCGGAACCCAGGTCCCTCCCCCGCCCTCCTGTCACTACGCCACTGAGTGAGGGCTAGCTTTGGAACTTGTTTGGCCAGTTAGGTCCAAGATACTCAGACTTTGAGCAAAATAGACAAGGTATGTCTCAACCTTGGCTTTTCGGGCTTTAAGGACCTAAGAACTGTTTTACCTGCTTTACAATTCATACTCCACATTCCAGGACAGTACTCTTATTACGATTACCCTGGTCCTTAGATTACCTGGTTTGGAATCTATCGATTACGCTGCATGAAAGCTTTCCTTGAAGAAAAATGAAATCGGCAAAGCCGCGCTGCCAACGATAGTACACAACCGACCAGATCGCTTCGAAAACTTAAAGGATGGACGCGGGATCGTAAAGGCCATTGGGGAGAAGGTTTCTGGATGTGTCTACTTCTTGTAAAACTACACGGATTCATAAAAAATATGGACGACTGGAAACGCTATCTTTGTAAAAGACCTTGGGGGAATATTGTTTCTGAATACTTGAAATACTGCCTAAAAAACTACATCAGATTTGTGAAAAAAAAATATTTACAATTTGTTTACTTTTTTTACGAACTTTGTTGTTTTGTTTTTTCTCCTACGCCGCGCCGCTTGTGGTGACAAAATTTACACAAGCCGAAAACCACCGAAGTTTCCAGGCCAGTAAGTGGTTAATCTGAGGACCGTGCTATTATGCAGACAGGGTTTTTTGTAAGGTTGAGAATAAGTTGTATTCGTTTTTCTTAACATACTTTATTCACTCAATGCCTCCACGGTTCACGATTAAGATACTCCACTGTTCACGATATTTCGCTATTAATATAACTAAGATATCCGTGATAAAGGAAACAGCAGCCAAGTCCTCTGCAATAACCTACGATGACATTTGGGGTCTGAGGTTTGATTGTTGTCTGCATGTTTGTGATAAGCGTAGTTTTGGTATAAGCCAATTTGAATTGTACTTGGCATAAATAGCGAGAATCGCATTAGAGTGAGCCGGAAACACCAGTCCTGCACATTGCAAGCTTAACTTTTTCTCGCACATGTATTTTACTGGTTCAGCTCCGTTTAGAAATTATAACGTGCAGCTCCATTCCAGCAAAAAATTATAAGGATTCTTAGACATTTTACCGACGTGTGCCGATGGAAACGATCCAGCCTTCAAAGAAGTACGTTTGGTGCTGCTCTCTAGAGGTGGAACCACGTGCAGCTATTGCGAAATTCCATAACGACGGAGGACCATCATGTTGGAAATAATATTCGTGTAACTTTATTTTCACGCACGGTGAGGTTAACGCCGGATCCAATCAAGAGAAAACCATCCGAAATTGAACAAACCTGGCACAGACCTCTCTTGCTTTCCGTAAAATGTCGCGAAGCTTTTTTATAGTAGCGCCAAAAACGCACATCTCGGCGCGACTCAACCGTCTGCATCGGCGTCCCTTGTGAAAATTTACCGGGATGGTGTTCACATTTTCTATAGGTACGGAACTACTCAGTGACATTTTCCAAGGGAACATGCACAATGAATACATCTTATACGAGCATTTCAATTTGGTGCAGAAGCCGATTTTTCCCAACCAATGTCTCTATCAGAATCGATGTTTTAGCCATTACATCTTACCATGTACCTCGACGTTTCTTACAGTTTATAAATAATATACTCTTTATTATTTCCGGCAGAGTTTGCAGGTCCCATGAGCTTCAAGCATGATGCAGTGGAAGGCCGGGTCGAGACGGAGGAGGGTAAGGAACGTCATTTCGGCTCCTAATTCTGTAACGATGCCTAATATTGGCTTCGTCATCAAGTACACTAATGGTAAAGAGTAAATTCAATTATAGGGATGTTCTAGGCAGTTGCCATTCCTTGAAACGTATTCTTAAAAATGCTGAACAAAATTCTCTATATTACATCTACCACACAAAATAATCTTTCTTCACCCTTTACATATGTTGCAGTCGTTAGTACACATTCATATTCCGCTTCCAATATTTTTCCGCTTGGTGCTTAACTCTGTTTGAATTGAAGTATGGAGATGGTAATGTAATGCCATGAATATTACAGTAGATTGATCGATTAAGTTGCACTAGTTAAGTTGATGTAAATATAATTGTTTCATTTAGTTTACGAAAGTAGGAAGTCATCACGACTTCATAAGACGGATATTTCTGATAAGGTATTGTCTTGTCTCGAATCTTTTGAATAAACTGATTTTTTTTTCTCTTAGATTTGAAGATTATATTAAAATACTTCCTGAACGTCGTCTATCTTGTGTTTTCCATAAGACAACAAAAATAAAACCCAAATGTGGCCTAGACTAATATGAACATATACGCCACTTTGAAATATTGATGCGTACTGCATCGGTGTGTCATTTCACGAGAGGCGGAGTATGTGAACGAAAAGCAAGGTCCATTGCGCTGATAAATATACATGGAGACGTTGCAAAGATTATTACACTGCGCGCACACATTCAACGCCTCTTAAACATAAAAACAATAAAAGTGAATTTTTTGTAATGTTTTTCAAGAGGTTCATAAAGTGATTCGGTTGCGAATTTTTTAGGGATTGCCGATTGACCTATCTTGGTTTGGTCTTACGGTATTATCATTGTTTATAGGGTTCTGTGCATAGACACTTGAGGAAGCAGAATGTAGGTACATAGAGTTCGTCGTATTCCCTATATTTATCATTTACAGTTTGCCAAATAGTTTGCAGAAGAGGAAAACTTCCTCAATGTTCGCCGACACGAAGGTTGAACTTGCATTCTCGTAAACGTCGTGTCGGTGATACGGTGGCTGCTCACCAGCTCAGTGACATATCGTTCTTTTTGCGGAAAATTATATGAGCAAACTGTGACCACTCGCAGCTTCAAGGGAAGGCGGGCTCTTAAATGTCTTCTGAAATTGGAAAACAGCGCGCAAAAAGACGAAGACGACGAGAGAAGAGCACAGGACAAGCGCTGACTATCAACTGAAGTTTTATTAAAAAAGGCTCAAGCAAGAAAACACCACACAGTCAAACGACGCCGAAACAACCAATGGCGTGTCGCTCACCAGTCATCTACAAAATCTATCTCTTTTTTGTGAAGATAAACAGAAGGTTGGCTGACGCAGTGCCCCGCGCCAGCTTTTTCGATAGCATGCGCCTCCAGCACCTCTCCAGGATTTCTTTGTTTCCTCAAGATCCCGCTGCCACAAACGAGAGTCGTGAACACGAGGGCAGCTTCTAATAGAGATGTAATCGAGGCTATCGTAAATCCTGACGTGATCATAACGGGGGTTGTAATCTACATAAAGCGGAGCTGTCATATAGTTTCACCACAAATAACTGCAGCATCAAACTTCCCGTATTTCTCAACACAGCAGACGTTTCGAACACATAGCGAAGCTAGGGGTTTGATTGCAGTTTTAATATCGTAATTTTCGTTGTGTGGGAGGTTTAATACAAACAGAGTCGCATGTTGTGCAGTAGGGTTTCCATACAACGTGTAAAAGTGTTTTTTATGAAGTAGCAAGCTAAGCTCTCCTAATACAAAACATCAATCTATATGTTATTTCAACTACCTTCATCATATTATACGTGTGGGCGTTGCGCTTTCTTATCGTTTGACTAAGTTAAAATCTACATGGTAAAGTGGTCACCTAATATGTAGACGAGGAAGTGGTTACCAAGTGGTAGCATACGTATTATGACTGCTCAGTTATAATGTCTCACATCCAGATTAACGTTCCTGTGAGACATTTTCGCGCCAGTCACACATACGCCATCAGCCTGATGTATTGTTCGTCCCCGCTAGTTCGCATTCAGAGCTTCTTTAATTATCTTGACAAATTATTTGCTGTCATTTTCAATTCTATTCTTTTGTGGTTCAAGATGAGCATTCCACTCTCCTTATCCTGTGTTTTGGCAGCGAATTGTGTTCTGAATATTTTTTCGTGCACTATCGTAATATGCCCAAGCTGTTGGCAGGCTCTATAAATAAATAAGTAAATAAATAAATATATTGCGCTTTGTAAATATCGCCACGCCTATTCAGGAGTCAGACATTTTATCTCGGGATATTTTGGAATTTCAAAATCATTTTAAATTTGTTGCGTAGCCGAGATTGAAGTATCTCTGCTAGTCCACTGAACTTCTTTACATTTAAGTTCGTTGCACGGGTTGGGAACCAGCGTGGGTTTAATGAGAACGCTTTGCGAACGGGGCCCAATAGCACTACCGCGTTCCACTTTAAAGGCGAAGCTTAAGCTTCTCCCCAGCTTTGTTTTTAAAGTGAATCAAATGTTTTATACTTAATTATGGAGTACTCAAAACTAATACTTATAAGAACACGTACGGGCGATACTTATGTATTGCACTAAGAATATATGCTAAAGTAAACAAAATATTCAAAGACCCTTTAGCACTTAGGGATTTGAAAGTTTTGAAACTATTTAAAATCGAAATTACTTTTTTCTTCCATAACTTAATTTTTTAGCAATACGTTTTAAAATAACAAAGTATCGCTGAACAATAGGCATATTTACACGAACAGTACAAATGCATAAAAGTATAACTTTGTGTACAACGATTCTTTAGCAATTATTCAGCCAAAACATTAATGTTTGACATTTTCTTAATTTACCAACACTTATAGACAGAGAACACTAGGCGCAGTTAATTTCTAGTTCCTCTGGATAGAAACACTGTGCTAGTCCTCTGGACTAGCACGGTGTTTCGAACGCATCTCACTCATGTATTTTGGAACCTTCATATTTTTAGTAGATTAGAAACGAAGCACGATGTCAGTCATAGCTGCTATCAAAACTGAACAAGGACATCTAAGCCTATGCTAAGTTGCTTAAAGAAGATATTGGCTATCGCCCAAACAGTTTACTGGGTGTTTTCTTTTTGTTTTGTTTTTTCAGATGTCATTTTAGTAGCGCATTTAAAATAAACTACTCAGCTGCGTTTGCGACAGTTTTGGTGTTGGTTAATGTTTAGTATATTTGCCACAGCTTCTGGATTTGCCAGAGACAATTAAACTATCATAAGCATAATCATGTTTTTAAGTTACTATGAAGAACAAGTCGTCCACAATGTGAGTGACAATGTAAAATTAAGAAGTATAATTAAAAGTCACAAAAAAAGTTCGATACCTACATTTAAAAAAAAAAAAAAAACGAGCCAACGTCAAATATTTTTTTTATTGTTTCCAGACATTAAAATGCAAAGGATAGACGTCAGACTCAATTCAACACTTTTGTTAAAAAAATTATATTTGAAAATATATGAACGAAATAGCTTCAAAATCATTGTCTAGACGATTTCGTAAACTGTGTCTTTTTTTATTGCCTGTGAAACTCATTATCTAATGTATTGATTTATTCTCGCTTCTAATTGCAGGGAGGGCGGATAATGCCGGCTTCATTGAAAGTATAGTCAGCTTTTTTAAGTCTCTGGCATTGGCTCCCATAACAGTGCCGCTAGAAATCTTCAATTTCATCATACAACGCATTCCTGTCATCGGGCGTTTTTTTAGACCTGGTTAAAAAATCATCATGAGTACGTCAAGTAAACTTTTCATCCAGGCTTTTTTTTTTCGAATTAAGTTTTTGGAGCTCTCTTTTCAAGATGTCAAAACAAAAGCTTGTCATGTCATTTCGAAGCACGTTTTTTCTTTTTACCATAAAATAGACCGATAAAACAGAGCGACAACCTCGCTGGAACTCTGAGCGTGTAGAGCCCGAGGTGGCACTTGAAGTCTCGTGCACTACCGCCTGGCTCGAGATGAACTGAAGTTATGGCGGCTTCGTGAATACGCCGATCGCTCCCCAAAATCAGTCCAATCCGTCCTTGTTTTTTTTTTTTTCATTTTTTGTAACATCAACGAAATAAATACAAAGCCGGTGCAAAACGGCTCCTCTTTCTAATGACTTCAGCGTCCTTTTTTTGTTTTTATGCTATATTATATTAATTATACCAGTGGTCTCAAATACGCGGCACGCGGGCAGCATGCGGCCCGCGACTTGCTATGACGCTGATCGCAGGCAACCACCTACGAGTCCCGGTTCCCATATCTCGATCACTAGGAATGGCATGCGCCCATAGTGATCTTCTCTGGCCAATTTCTTTTCCGCTCGAAAGGTATAGCTCTGTTTATTTTTAATGTATTGACATAGTCTATACTTATCTGTTTTCATTTGGCTTTTGTTTCGCTTTATTTAGTGCTCCCCAGCTTTTGTCATGTTACACACCTGTACGACAATTCCACTACTAGGCCACAAACGCGAGATCGTCGTTCAATAATGCATCTCGGCTGCGCGAACTCTCGATCAGCAGGAGCAACTGCCAAAAGATAAAGCAACGAGCTCGGGATCCTCGCTTTCAAAAAAAAAAAAAAAAATATCACCATTAAAAGACAAGTATTTTTTTCCGAGTTCTCTTATAAAAATCGTCAGGAAAGCAAGAGCTCTCAAATTCACTGTATTTTTTTTTGCACTTGCTGAGCTTGGTTAATTCCTGAGTGAATTGAGCAACGGGACAGTGTACTTTCTTTCTTGTTCTATTAAAATGCCAGCACGTTGGCGGGGTAGTGCCACTGCAATCGTTGTTATTACATCAGGTAAGTCTCGAAAGTAGTCATGCAAACAAATCAAATCTAAAGGTGTAATTGGCAAAACTGTGAGTTTACAAAAAGCATAAAGCACGAGGTCTCTTATTCACCCCCGTCTTAGGTTGACCCTCGACCTTTCCGGGGTGGACTATCTGACCCTCACGCTTGTACGAGTTTTAGACCCCTGCGTATACAAGAATCGAATGCAGTTAAGCGTAGGCGAAACTGCTGTGAGGTCTGGTACCACTTTATGCCGGGCTTCCATCCGCCATTTTGCTGGGGTTAATGTTTCTTGACGATTCGTTGTCTTTGCGACGTCGTCGCATTATTTTCTCAAGTTCAGAAATCTCTGCAATCGCGAAAATTTTAGTTTTTTTGTGTTTATTGTTGAGGAAACTTTTAATTGCCGTTTGTGACGTGAAGAAGGTGTCATTGGTTAATTAAAGAAAACACTTGATTTCTTACTGTTTTGTCATCGGTGTCGAAGTTGGGTCCCGCAGAAATTTTCGATCGATGAAAAAATCTAAACTCCACTTTCAAACTGTGTCCGGTATTACGAGGGGAATTCAAGTTGTAAGGTCTAATTGTTGTCTCTTCGGATGGTAAGATGGTAGAGAGATGAAAGGCTTCTTAAAATGTGCACAATTTCATAGGAGAGTGATTACAAAGCAAAGCAAAATTGTTATAATGACATCAAAGGGTTCTGACGCAGCCTGATATTACTTATGTTTCAGACACTAGAAATGGCGTTGTTCACATTCGGACTGCAGCGTGATATTACTTGTATTGTGCAAATCCGTTGAATCAGGCGATCATGTTACGTGATAACATCATAAAAATATGGTTCTACATAATCAACTGTCACAATGGGCGGAATAATAATGCCTTATTTTAACACTGAAACCTTACGAAACAAATGGAACTTAGAATCTTCGCCACCGAAGTTTCGCGCTACCGCCGGTGCGAAGGAAGTGGTAAGGGTCATGTTCTGTGAAAGCAAAGGTGTCGCCCTCATTCACTGCATTCCGAAGGGCACGGCTCAGTGACGGCTGCATCCCGCAGACAAGTTATCGACACAAACATTTCTTTACGCATTAGGAAGAAATAAAAAGAAAGCAAGGGACTGGAAAGGCCGCAGTCGTTACCTTCAATCACGATATTGCTCCGGCTCATCGGGCGACACTTATTCAAACGTATTTTCACAAAAGCAACGTTAGGCTGATTCCAAGAGCTCCCCGCTCTCCTGGCCTTGCACCCATCGATGTTTGGTTGTTTTCGACTATGAAAGACACTCTTCTTTGCAGAGAGTTGTTGAGTCGGTTCACTGTCGCATCGGCAACGCAGCCAGCACCGTTCGCGATTCGGGTAAAAAAAGATGGCGGTCGGTTTGCCCGCCGCCCCAGCAGAGCGTTAGGCTTAGGACAGTCAGAGGCGATTTGCCATCCTGTTAATCTTCTCTGCTTGCGACGTTGAACCAATTCATTTCAAAGGCGGCTCACAATGGTGAGCGATCGTGAATGCTGTAAACTACGCAGGCTAGTAATTTGTTTGCGCGCTGCGGGCTGACTAGCTGCCGTGGCCACCGCGAGCAGAAGAAATGTTTTGGTTCGACGGCACACAACGTGGACGATCGTTCAGGTTCAAGATAACGACCTTTGCGGTCGTTCAGATACTTTTTACTCTATTTAGCTTCGCCGCTTTCGAAATTCCGATCGGTAGATGTAACATCGGCCGCCTTGTTTGCATCAGTCATACGCATGGAAACACGAGCCACCACGGCTTTGCACGCTACAGAAGGTCTCATATCTTTACTAAAAAATGGCGCTGCCGTACACACGCAATCATCATCATCGTTTACACGGTTTTGCCAGTTTTATGATTCGCTAACCTATCTTAAATTTCACGTACGGTTTCTTGGAACAGATCAAATGCACCGTTCACGACTTCGGAACCGTGTGATCCAAAAACGACTCGCGAAAACTCCGTATGATAGTGCACCCGACCGGCACGAATGCATCAACCAGACTCCTGTGCAAGCTGGATTTGTGCCCTACGACTCGTGCTAGAGTTAACAAACCGACACTCCCTGCGTATTGTAAGGTGAAGTTCAGAGGAGAGTGATGCCTATTAATGAACGATACATTGTTACCCTTCAAACGTCCCTTTAATATCTTTCAAACTAATTTAAATTGTTATTCACAAATAATTATCCTATACTTTTCATACTGGGCAAAAATACACACTGAAAAAAAGGCGTCTGCATATTTTCTTTTACCTGTTCAGCATAATAAGTAAAGAAGAAAAAAAAAAAAAAAGCCTCGAGGAATAAAAAGGGGGCAGGGCAACGTTTCAATAAAATATTTTAGACGTTGTTATTATTTCCTCTCTTTTGCTTTCTTTACAAACTATACATCAACAGTTCGCATGCGAACTAGCTCTCATTTTTATGTCTAGAAATCATACTTATTTGAAGATTCCTGAGGTGGATTTGCTGAGTCGACTGATGTGAGCACTGCATTCACCACGTACATTTCCTCTACATCTACATCCCTTCACATCTGTATCGCTTCACTCAACGCGCCATCTGTTTCAGTTGAGAAATCTAATGAGAGCGTGAATTTCTATTTCATACAACTATATCATTAAATCTACGCACATGTCTCTGCACACACTTTCCGCCGACAAGTGAAAAAAAAGTCCAATCTACCACATGATTTTATTGCATTCCAAAGATAAAGTTTCGTGCGCTGTTCAGATATCCTAGCAGTTAAAGAAACCGACAGAAATCCGTTCATCGCTTTTGATGTATGAAGAAAGTAATTGGGACTGCAATCTCAACAAAGAAGGTTTATAGTCTTACACCCCTTTCCCGTATAATATATCCCAAAACATCAGTTCTACGCGCGGCGCACTGACGTTAAACTGACGGTACCAACTTTCACGAGCGGCTTGATGGCCGAGTGGTACAACTTATTAAAATAGCTAACGTACGTTTTAGTGAATACACTGAAGAAGTAATAATAATCGGGGTGTTCTTAGCCCTACTGCAGAGCCTGTGTGTTTTATTTCTTAGTAGCGTTCGAGACGTACCTTAGCTGTTTAATAAATTATATCGCACCGTTATAAAGCCCCTTGTAAAAGTTGGGGCCGTCAGTTTGACGTCCAAGCGCTGTACCTGGAACTGGAATTTTGGGACGAATGTGGGACAAAATACTGTAATACCACTCCCTTTTTGGAGTGTATTTCGGCAACCGTACCTACGCAGGGACTCGGTAGTTCCGCTTTGGTTGAAAAGGACGTCTCCGGCATTGTTTCAAGGGCTTTATCTTCAGAGCAAATCTGGAGGGTCTGAAAAAGACTTTTGTGCGAAAGTCATATATAAATGAGGCTTTAAATTGTCCTCGTAGAATTGAATAGAACACACTGTAAAAAATTTTCACCCCATTTTACGGGCAAAAGTTGCGGGTTCAATATTGCCGGTATGGTTTGCCGTAATCTAGAAACGGGACTGTCGGTAAAAACAAGGCATATAATTTCGTAAAATGACGAAACGTCCGTAGCTCACTTTACAGACAGTTATCCGTTTTCCATTTTACGGATAAAAGTTGCTGGTTCAATATTGCCGGTATGGTTTGCCGTAATCTAGAAACTGGACCGTCTGTAAAAACAAGGCATATAATTTCGTAGAACGACGGAACGTCTGTAGCCCACATTACGGACAGCTATCCGTAGGAAATGTGAAAGCTATTTGCACTAAATACCGAAGGACTATACCTTTCCGCCTTATAAGGCCAAAGCCTCGTGCCATCCGTACCACCTGCACCTTCGATACATCATGCGACTCACCTGGCAGAGCTCTAGATCTGCCAGGGGTGTCACCTGACGTATCGGAGGTGCAGGACTGGTGCGGATGACTCGTAGCTTTGGCCTTATATAATTCGGAAAGGTATAGTCCTTCGTTATTTAGTGCGGGCAGCTTTCACATTTCATATGGATAGCTGTCCATAATGTGGGCTACAGACATTTCGCCATTCTATAAAATTATATGCCTTGTTTTTACGGAGAGTCCAGTTCAAAAAGACGTAAAGGTCAAGTGCTTTATTATTTAGTGCAAAAAGCTTCCATATTCAAGCAAGCCTAAGTCACATGAAGCTTTTGGGGTAGATTGGTATGGAGAGTTCATAGCTCCGTCATTTAATATATGAATTTGAATAATCTTTCATCCTCAGCCAAGACGTTCATGTTTTGCAAAAGAGAAAGAGCACACAACCTGTACTTCTCAATGCCAGGATTTTGTTTGTGTGAGCTCGGCTGTTCC